TGGGATTGATGCAGGCCTTTCCTTTTGCAAATGCAATTTGAAAGCTCAAAATAATTGTTGCTAAAAATACGATAATAGAAGGGTTCCGGTCTTGTGCTATAATGAACTGCAGGCTCAATTGTCTGAAGGAATAAAATTACATTGATGAGATGGGATCAAAGACAAACTAAAAATCAGACATTTCCTCTTGGGGGAAAAAATTTTAGGAGGGTCACGCTTTTTCAAGTAGTCCCTACTGCAGTTAAAAGGCTGAGAGAGCTCCAAGTCAGACTTATTTCATTATCACAACAACAAAAGAATTGAGTACACAAGAATCCCAGTGTCAGAAAACACTCAAAGAAAAGCAAATGCAGCAGTTCTACCAAGTAGAATGCACGACCAGTCCTTCTTTGTTCCAGAAATTAGCTACAACACAGACAACAGAATGGCATTAGTAACAGCTTAAACCATCTACCATCCCTGGGCAGCACACCTCCTGTAAAACTTCAGAGGTGCCACCACTTTTTATTCCTTGCCAACATACACATTTGTCACAACTGCTGGGATGCCAACCATTCAATGGCAGAATGCAAACAGCACGACTTTTAAATCCAGTGAATACTGAAAATTATGTCAGTGCTAGTACCTTATTCTAGAGCTTCAGAATAATACATCACACAGTTGTCACAATTAAATGTAACAAACATAGAACTGCTTAATCCTTCATGCTTTTATTTATAAATAAAATTGTTTATTCGGGGCAGTTTTCTGAATGTGAATTTTGTGGGCACAGTTTAATCATCCAATAATGTTTACCTCAAGAAAAGTGAAATTAAAAAAAAAAAAAAAGCAGAAAAGACAAAAGTTCCCAATCCCAGTTGTACAAAACCAGTTTTATAGCTGTACTTTCTGATTACGTCGACCATCACAGCAGACTTATTTGCAGTTTGTGAAGCTCTTCCATGTGTTGCATTGATGAATTTTATTTCTAGCTGCTAAGCCATATCTAAAAATGGGAAAAGACACATCGTGCCTTCTTTGTACTATTATTCTATAATCTGCATTTGAAGTCAGAGCAGTAGAGAACATGAATCTATGAACTTAGAGCCACCTGTGCACCTATCACCATGGTAGTTCCACATTTACATTAGAAATAACATGCCCCTAAATTTACTTTTCATTGACGTTGTGCATTCTAGAGTCTTGACATAACAGAAGCAATTCTCACCCACTAAAAGTGAATTCATTAAAAATACATACATGAAGCATATCCTGAATACGGCGTGTCTAGATCTCAGTTAGAGCCCTGAAGTTGGTTTCTTAAAAGCAGACCCACACTGTCCTTCTTCCCAGGCCACCTGAGGAGAGCTTACCTTTGACCTTATAAAGGTCAAAACTAAAGAAAAACAATGAAGACTCTTTTGGGTGGTTCTTATGAGCCAGACTGTCTGAAGCATGCATCAATGCTAGGCACCAATTGGCAAATGGGAGCAAAACTATAGTTCCTATTCAATCATCTAGAACAGTTTTATGAGACAGGTGGGAAAAAGAACCTCACTTCTTACACAGAAATCACATCTAGTGTTTTAAATATAGCAACTATACACATTTTATTTTTATCTGTCTCAGGTTCCTCTTTAGGTAGCTATGTAGCTTCTAGTGATGAGAATTCATATTATATACTATGGTAATCATTGTTTAATAATTCACTTTCATTAAGTACTAATAGAAACAAATTATTGGAAGTACTAAGTTACTGAAAATACATGGTATTGATAATCTGTAAAATTTTAAGATTTATGGAAAATAAAAGCAAGAATATGACACCTACCAAAATACTTCGAAGTATTTTAATTGAACTTTTACTTTGCAGCCTTTTTACTTTTATCCAAGTTACCTAGTGAATTTAATTACTTTCTTACTTTACTCCTTGCAAGCTCCTTTTGTCTCTCAAATCTTCAAATTTATTGTTATTATTATTAAAGATAGCTATTGCTCATGCTCTTCTTGTTACAGGTCTTTCTTTTGCATAACATATCAATAACATACCAAAGGAAAAATAGTTACATACTGAGGACAGTTGCTGGATTTATTTCAGGCAGCCTTTACCCTCTGCTGGTTTGAGCATCTAAGTACTTCTTGCTCCCTGGGCCAGAAACTGAGAAATAAGTCAACTTAATAAAAAGTCAACCTAATTTGAATCTGCATTTGCATCTCTTCTCAGAATGTCTCATTCCTCACTTTGCAACAGGTAAGACAAGACCAGTCTGACTGACACCACTTACTATTTTTACCTGGAGCAATGCAGCATGAGCAGTGCTGCTGTCAGTGAACTTCATCTATCAAGGAAACCTGAAGCCCAGAGAACAATTTCTCCTCCCTCAGAGTATCCGAAGTGTACTTGAAGGAAGTTTACTTACTGAAAGACTTCTGAGCTGCATACCAAAAAAATTGAAAACAAAAACAATGAGAAAATAACAGGAGTGCTGAATATCAGACTGTCAACAGAAGGTACAGCAGTTTTCAGAATGAATCTAGATTACCACCAAGGTGGCTGTGATATAAAATAACCACTGAAAGAGAGAAAGAACTACTCTACTGCCTAACAGGTCAGCATTTGTTGTCACAATCTCATAGGCGGTTTGTCTGCATATTTATTTTAATTACTTGTGGCAATATCGTTGGGCATTACTTTGTCTCAGTATTAGCAGCATTTCTTTCACAGAGAATGAACATTAACTTGCAAAGACTTTCACCTTAACACGACATCATGTCATTAGAGCCCTTGGATTAGATCACTGTTATAAATGCACCATGCTGGAGACTGCAATTTAGTTTCTGATCTTGCAGTTCATTCTGAGGCTTAGTTCTCAGGAGATAAATGTATTGCTAGACTTACATGCATTTCAGATAGCATAAATACCTATTTTCTTAGTAACAACAATGAACCTCTTAACTGGTCTAGTTTTCCTCTATATTTCTTTATAATCAGATTATTAAGATGAATTACTTACATTTTAAATTCAGTGTGAAATATAGGGGGACATGAATCTCAGTTGTTTTAACATCACTGCCACATCATTCAAGACAGAAATCAAAGATGGAAACTATCAAACTGGTAACATTCCAACAATGGAAGTTACTACTCCATCCAATTATTTTCAAGCCTTGAAATCTGGCCCCTCAGTGCCTTTCCAGTAGAGATCCACACTCCAAAGATATCCCTAGTTTTTGCAGAAATGCATGATCTTCAAAGCCAACACATACACAGTGCTTTAAACTAAGCAGTGTTGGGAATCAAATCATAGACTCAAATGGCACTTAGAGAAACTACATTAGCTGGCAACCCTCCTTCTCACACAGCAAGGTCCCTCCAGGACTGGTATTTCTGTGGATCTCATCTGTGTCAGGACTGACACAAAAAAATGCACAACTCATTAAGTTACAAGGCCTGTCACATATATATGGCTTTGTCTTCAGACACAGTAAATCCTAAACAGTATATATTTATATACACATGCACCCATATGATCAGCCACATATATTTCTCATGCTATACAAACTACATCAGGATTCCTGTTCACTTCCAGTTTCATTCTGTTCTTGATATAATCCATAGTTGGACCATACAGCCTACAGGTCAGGGCAATGGAATCATAAAAGCAGTTTATACTAGACATTTCTAGAAATCAGACACTGATGTAATTGTTAGTAAGTATTTGCACCATTTCCTTAGTATCTCTGTTGATCTGGGGTGTGCCCAGCACGTGGTAAAGGTAAATTATCTACATTGTTTGGAATGATAACAACAACAACAAAAAAAGCATGCATGTTTTGCCTTCATTGCAGACATTCAAACGATAGGGGAAAACCAGAGCTTTATTTTTTAAAAAAGGAATCCAGGCACTATTGACTATCCCACAAATACTTATTATCAACTGCAATGTTTTCTACCACAAATATTCCCTTTGATGTCAGCAAGAAAGAAGAGATGCAAGGGCTGCAAGAATGTTTATGCCCACTGCTGTCTTAATTATAAACTTGTCTGACTACAAACAAATGAAAAATAAGTTGTTTGTATGCCCTGGCCAAATTCCTAAGGTTATAAAGTGAGCATTCCATTATTTATTATAGGAAGCATTTTACACCACTGTGAATGTAAATGCAATAATAAGAACTGTACACATTTAGAGAACCAGGTCTTTGGTGTAAATATTGCTTTGCTGTTAGCACAGGCTGCCCAGAGAAGATGTGGATGCCCCATTTCTGGAGGCACTCAAGGCCAGGCTGAATGGGACACTGGACAGCCTGATCTAATGGCTGCCAACCCTGCCCACAGCAGGAAATATGGAACTAGATGATCTTTAAGGTCCCCTCCAACCTAAGTCATTCTGTGAATTTTAGTTATATATATGACTTAATTATATGAAATATATTATATGAAATACGAATAATTATATGAAATATATATATGAAAGAGAAGCAGGAGAAAAAAATAATATAAGAAAGTACTGCTCCCCTTTGGAAAGTACTCTGTATGTGAAATACTACAGTCACAGAGAAAGTATTCTGGTGACATCTCTATATCATACAGCAATAGAGAAATAAACTGGAAGAACAAAAAATTCAGCTATTTCTTCAGAATGAAGCAAGCCAAAATTTACTGTATTAGTTAGTGACTCATGCTGTCCTAACTTACACTGAACATTATATACTTCCTAGTCTGGAAATACACAATCAGAAATAGAAAAAACAATGTTTATTTTCATTTTTGAATAGCAAACAATATTTATTGCTGTACGTAGACCTGGTAATTAATGTGGGCTTACTGTTGTTCCAGTTTTCATGACATGAAGATATAAGGCATAGAAAATTTCTTACATGGAATTGTTCTGAAAAACATTTCAGCATAGAGGTCAATTCACAAACGCTATCTTCTTCCCTTACCTAGAACTATACCTTCACATTTCCTTTAAACTTCTACTTTGCAACTAAGTTGTCTTGTTATTTTTTCATCTTACCACAAGTTGCAGAAAAATTTTCTGGGAGTCTTGAAGACGACGTTGTAGGAAACTTCTAATCTTGCATTTTGAAGGATGCTTCAGATAAGGAAGCACTATTTCACTTCAAAACTCAAATTCTGCTGCTGTGTATTTCACACATCTGGGCTACATCCATGCTGAAACACTGAAAAAAAAAATTTTGCCATGAAGAATCATAGAAACATACATCAACTAAAGCAGAAACCATATATAAGAGCTGTCTTTTTCCTGTCTTTTGTGTTAGCCATATAAAAGATACCTGAACACTGCATTTAGATCTCAGATATACACAGAATTAAGTACATAGGCTGCTCCAAAAGTAATACCTCCTTTTTATTTCCATGGAAACATCAACAGAGATGAAGAGCATAATAACAGTATTTGACACAGCAAATTCTCAGCTACAAAACAGTACTTTTCAACACAGCCACCATGATTAGCTAAGCATTTTTGCCAGTGACACACAAGAGCTTGCATGCCATGGTTGTAAAAATCTACACCAGTGGAAATGACCCACTGTGCTCACATCCATAAACATCCAAGCAAGCATCAACAAATGTCAGTGGGTGCCATATTTTCTACATGGAGGAATTCAATGACACACCTTTGCTTCATGCACACTTCCATGTCAGACATCATTTTGTCAGACTGCCCCTCTGCTGCCATCCGTCACACAGCAACAAAATACAATGGAACGTTTGTGGAAAGGTTCATCCTCTACTGCCATAACACTAACATCCACCTTTGACGTTGTGAACCAGCAGGATAAAAGAGGAGGCATTACTTTCAGAGCAGCGCTCGTACACAAGTAAAAGTTGAAGAATAAAAGATTTACAGAAACATCCACTATTAAAAACTGGGTCCTGTATCAGAGAGTAGGCAGGAAAGCACAAGACATTCTTTAGTGAACGCATTTTAACTGTGCAAGGGCGGCAATTCTCAATCAGCTGCTTGTACAAAGATTTTATTCTTTCTGTGCGCCTTTTATTGCAACGCTGCTAGATATTTCTCAATCCATTAGCTTCGTGATTGTGCTGCACAGAATGACAGCTTTTGTCAGGAAACTGCCCTGCATCACTGTGGAAAAAGCAACAGATCGAGGAGCCTGCACATATATTACAAACTGCTCTCTATACAGTGAAGCAAACTATAAAAGAAGTTATCTGCATTGTAAAGCAGGATGGCTGTATTGTTTTGAACTGTACACCCCGTGCATTTCAGCAATGTGAAAAGGACAGACACCTGCTTTTTGACTTACAAGTCACGTAGTCTGTAAAATAACATAACAAATATACATAAGTATGTGTATACATATATATATACACACACACACGAGTGCATATACGCACACACAGGTGTAACATAACCATTTCTGAAACATGCTGTGGATTATTTCTTACAGGAGTTGTTTTCCAGCATAGACGGTGCCAATGCCTCACTCTAATTGTGCAGCCTGTAAATTCAGATTGCAGATTTCCTAAGGACACAGCACAGCGTTCAGGAAGCCAGAGATGGAATCAACATTGCAAGCTTGAATCTAGCTCCAGGTAAGACTAATTGATGGCTGAAGTCTGGCTGTGCTTTTTAACAAGAGAAAGACCTCCACAAAGCTGCCATCTAGGTGAAAACCCATCCTGCATCTTGTGAGAGCGAGGCTGAACTCAGCATACTGGAGGAGAATCATTCTCATCTGCAGCATCTCGTTGATTCAAATCTTGCAGAGACAAGAACACACGCTGCCCCGCTCACACACGTGTTTCTTGACAACTGCAAGATTTGAAAATCCTAAGAATTCAATCTTCAGAAGTTATTACAGCTTGAGATTTACTTTAAAGAATGCTTGACTTGGACAGGTAGATGTGTAAATAAAAACCTATGTATATTTTATAAATAGAATGTATTTTTACGTTTAAATTATATGCGATATGTAAAATATTAAATTTAACTGTATCTATGCAGACTATGAAAACATACAACTTTCTGTAGAAACTAGATGCTCCTTCATTTGCCAAGCAATTTATATCATAGCAGGGTGATTCATCTCAATGCCTACTTCCAAGTGTATATTTCAGAGTATTAATGTATATGCTCCTCTGCTCAACACCTTAACAGCTGTGCCAAGCAGTATCATTTTAGAATTTGACAAACATGCTTCCTTATATAAAAGAAAAACCCAACACCATCATAGGAGTATTTACTTTACAGAAGTTTTAACTATGCAAAAAAGCAATAGACCTCGATCTTGTTAATGTGACTTAATTTGATTATGACATCACAAATTTCAGGACATTTGGTATTGTTCTTAAAGAGCTACTTCCTGCAGTTGTGCAGTTACAAGACAACTAATGATTTCTAAGACTAAATATATTCATATACATATATACACACACCCACTCACTCTTATGGCTAAATGCTTAAAGCGTGCATCTCAGCCACTCAAAAACCACACAAAAAACTAAAAGAAACTTCACAGCATTTTAACATCTTACATCATTTAAACTGTGTCCTGATTTTTGAATCTAAGTTAAGATTTCCCTAAATTATTTCCTGAAATCAGTAATGCCACACGATCAATACAGGAACCTACTATGAAGGCCAAGACCAGGCCAGGCAACAGAGCCAGCTCCTGTCAGTGCTTCCAGTTGAAGGCCAGCAGAACTATCTATAGACTTTAGGCAAGCTTAGTGAGAGTAGCATCATGCATGCTCCTGCAGCGCCAACCTTACACTGGACCTACATATGACAGCCCCAATAATCACAGCCAGGCCTCCCATCACTCCTCAGCTTGCTGAGCCCTGCAGCAACAAACAGATGAAGGAGGAAGACCACCACGATAACTGAGAGGCTGAAGCATCAGCCCTGTGAGAAGAGGCTGAGGAGACTGAACTTGGTGACAGCAGCTTCTCCAGCACTGAGAGAGATTACCAAGAAATCAGAACCAGGCTGCTCACAGTGGTGTGTGATGGGAAGACAAGGGACAATAGTAAGCTGAAATATGACAGGTTCAGGCTGGAAACAAGGAAGAACTTTTGTACTGTGAAATTTTGTCAAGCAATGGAATCTGGAGAGACTTTGCCAGCTTCCATGCTTGGAGGCCTTAAAAGCCTAACTGGAAGAAACCCTCACCTACCTAGACAGACCTCTCAGGAGACCCTTTCTGGGGCAGGAGGACCAAGTAAGAGGCCTCCTGATCTATGCAGCTCAAAGGATCCTATGATCACATTTTGTGTTGGCAATTGCCACTGCCTTCCTGCATCTTTTCTGGAGTTAATCTCTACTGAAAAGACTTCAGCTGCTCTACCCACTCCTTAGAGCCCCAGCTCTGACACCCAAGAGTGTCTCATCTGACACCAGTACTTTTTTCCTCTGAGAGAGAACTATTCTTTCAAGCACTTGAATCCCAAAGTACATTTGATTCATTTTTCAAGTATTTTTCAAGTATTTTCAATTCATTGTTGCTATCAAGTAAGTAAACCTACTACACTAACATGCAAAACTGAGAAGGAACAACATACCAGTAAAATATTTTTCCTCATCACAACCCAATTCAGTTCAAGACATTTTCCCTTCTCTCTTCAAGAAATATAACCTCATACGGCCCCAAATATCCTTTTTTTGTGGGGAATCAAATCAGCTGCTGAAGTACTGGTATTAATATATTTCCATTGTAGGTTTTTTTTTTCTTGTATACATTACACATTATCAGCTTCCAAAGCATTCCGTTGTGCGTGCAGGCAGCTTTCACACACAATAGAAAATCAGAATACATGAACAGCAAGACCACTGAAACCTATCTCCACAAAAGTACCTATTTTTATAACTGCTGTAACACAGAGACTAAAAATGCAATATATGAAGGAGCTGGTAACCAAGACTGTTGAGGTACCTAGAATGTCTACTGCCTGATATTTGAAAATGTTGCTGATTAGCTTTTACATAAAGTCCTGGGTGCATTTCAGTACAGAGTTTACTACTGAACTCTAAGCATATTGCAGAGTGAAACTCATTAAAAAAAAATCCAAACACTCCTAGTAAGAAATACAGTCATAGCCGGCCACCCCAAGGTGCCTGTAAACCCAGTTAGAACATACCTATTGTACTTTTATTAGAAGACCACCTTCCTAATACAAGTGGTTTTCATCGATTCCTGGAGTGCTTTAGCTTTGTTTCTTTTTCTCTGTCTAGCAATGTCTTAGCTTCATTCTCTTAATGTATATAATATTCCCTGAGGAAAAAAAACAGGTTTCTACTTCTGGCACCAAGATACTACTGAGCTCTGCAAGCTATTAAGAAGTCCCAAACGATGGCAAAAAAGTCTCCTGAGGCTTACTTAGAACAAGTATAAAAGACACAAGTCTAAGCGTGCCAGAGTGTGTGCCTCTTACACATATGGAAGCCTGCCTCAGAAGACAAAAAAAGCTTCATTATGTATGAGGTCCAAAACATTAGTGGTGAGCTCCAAAAGCTAGATTCAGAAGAGCTGGAGACAGGCAGTGCTCCCAGCTGCATTCTCCATCAGCAAGAGCCCAGTGCCTGTCTGGGAGCAGGTGAAAGTGGAGTGGAATGATCTGTCATTGTAAACGATGGAAAAAATATCAGGGGGAATGGGGTACATGGAGCAATACAACAGGAACAGAGAAAACATGACTAAGGCACAAACATCAGCCCATAAAAAGTTTTCCAGAAGAGTTCTCTCCCTTCCAGTATGGCAGAAGAAGCATACTGAAGGTAAGAATGGATAATATTACACTGGCTGTAACGTGGACCACAGAACCCTCAATAACAGAAGTCAGAATCACAATAGCAGTAGACCGGTAGGAATGAAGAATCTGAGGTGGCTTTCTTATTTACTCTTTCTTTTAAAGAACTAAATAGATCCTTCCAGGTTAATCTTACAAGTTTTCTTAATGCTCTTGGCAGCTTTTTTTTAACTACAGTCACAACATGTACTCATATTAACTATTTGCTTCTATGCATGCCATACAGCTCAATAACGTTTCACTTCCAAAAAGGAAAAATATAACCTTTTTATCTTTATGACAACTGAAACTTTGAGTTACGCTTAACCCTCCCACCAAGGATAAACTGCTTCTAACTTCTAGGAGCACACTGTGCATTTATCTTCTTGCTATTCAGTAAACAGGG